AAAAATTAAGCACAGCAAAGGTTGGGAGTTATAAAAAGCTACATTAGGATTAAGAGAAGGATTAAATATGGACAAAATCATTGTTCAAGGAAGATGAGATAGTGACAACTGACAACATATAGAGGGTATTGCTGCTCATTTTTATTTCCTTCTGGTTTCCCTGCCACAGAGAATGACCTTTTCATTGAAAATGACAGAACAAAAAAGGTTAGAATGGAGGTGCTAACACAAGATATATAAGGGGAAGTAAGAAAGCACCTAGCTGCTTAAGACAAATTAAAGACACTTGACCTGGATGAACTAGATTCATGAGACTCAAAGTATCAGTTAATGTGATTGCCAAACCACTTTCAGTGACTCTGAAAGAACATAGAAAACAGGCAAGTAAGCTATTGAAGAACTAAAAAAGGACAAATGCTATTCTTGATTTTCAAATGAAAAATGAATGAGTAAAGTCTACAAACTACAAGAGAATGAATTTGATGTTGATTCCTAGAAAAGTTTGAGAATTGATTATTAAAGTATTGGCTAATTCGTACATGAATAAGGAAACAATGATTTTTTGAAGGTCAGAATTGCCTCAAGAAGAAGCCTTCCCAAGCCAAACTTATCTCTCATTTTGATAGCATTATTAAATAGATAAATCATGGAATTCGACTTAGTTTACCTATATTTTAGCAATACTTTTGATAGAGTATCTATTCTTGTAGAAAATGTAGAGTGATTTGAAACTCAATTAATGGTTAGAAGTCAACTTAACGGGTCTCTAGCACACTGCCCCATGTGCTTGGCCTTATATAACCTTTAACATTTTTAGTAATAATTTGGACAAATGCACACATAGAATGCGAATTTGATTTGAAGAAGACCTAGAACTAGGAAGAATAGCTAACACATTGCACAACAGAGTCAGGATTCAAAAATTAAGAAATTGACAAGCTAAAAATCTAGTAAAAATTAAATGTAGAATAGATCAAAGTAAAGTTTTATACTTTGGTTCAAAAGAAGAACTCCACAAGTACAAGATGGAGGAGAAAAGCTTACATAGATTTTTATCTGAAAAAGATTTGGGACTTTTATGAGATCACATGTTAAATATCAGGCATCACAATATGATGCAGAGGCCAAAAGAACTGACTTCAGCCTTTGGTTGGGTTAAGAAAGATGCAACTTCCTGAAATATAAAGGTGATAGTTTCCTAATACTTTCCTCTGGTCAAACCACATTTGGAGTATTGTGTTAAATTCTAAGAACTTCAGTTTAGGAAAGCTTCAGTGTCCAGAACAAGAGGCATGCGTAAGCAGGCAAGTATTGAGTCCTCACTTCTCCCTCCAGTTTTAGCTTAGCTCATGCTCCAAGAGCAGGATTTCCCTTGTCAAGCCCTAGTTATCTACCCTCTACCACCTCTTGTTAACTGGCTTCTACCACCCCACCCCACCCCGCTTCCCTATTACTGGCTTTGTTTTGGCTTTGGCTAGTAACTAATTGGAGTTAACACTGATTTTTTTTTCATGGAACCTTTATTCATATCCTGTATAATAACAATTCATATTTATAGAATAACAATCATAATTGTGACTATTTCTATAGCACTTTAAGACAAAAAGGGCATTAAAACAGCAGGATTCTAGAGAACTTAGTTTCGAGAACAATGATGAGATATATTCTAAATCAGATAAGATTACATCCACATTTTTATGGTCAGTGAACTCTACAAAGAGATTAATCAACGTTGAATTAAATCTTATAGATGATTAAATATTCTCATTCTCTACTACCTTTGTCATATTTTCCTTTTGTCCAAGCTCTATCCATTGTCAGAAATGGGCATTAATGGGTACTTTGATTTCCAAAAGACTTTCATTTGTCATGTGCAATTTGGGTAGGAACAATAAAACAAATCTAATACCAGAAGCCCTTAAAAGAAAATTAAATAAATGTATCTTCTCACCTTAAAAATATATTTAACATGATTAACATCACACCGGATATCAAGCTTTTCAAGTAATTTCACTGTTTTATCTACATCAATTCTTCCAGCTCTAAAGTCCTCCTGAATTACAGAAAAGAACCACGTATGGAGAAAAAACAAGTTAAGGAAAATCTCATGATCAACATTTAGCATATCAAGTTGTTAGCTACCTAAATATTTAAAGTTTGGTTCAGGAGCAGTCTAAAATATTTATTTTAAATGGTGCTCTATATTTTTCTTTAAAAGATACAGACAGTATACTGTATTGGTTCAAATATAGGGCCATTTTAATATAGGCCACACCCCTAAAATAAGGTCATGGTAAAAGGAAATATGAGTATATTATATATGTGTGTATGCATTTACATGTATACATATGTGTGTGTGTATGTGTGTGTGTGTGTATGTGTGTGTAATAATACTGACATCTAAATAGCACTTACTGTTGGTCAGACACTGTGCCTTTACAATCATTATTTCATTTGATCCTTACAACAACACTGGGAGGTAGGTGCTATTATTATCCCCATTTTATAGATGAGGAAATGAAGTCAAACAAAGGATAAATGACTTGCTCAGGTTCATACAGCTAGGAGGAGACTAGATTTGACCTCAGAACTTCCCAATTTCAAGCACAATACTGTATCCACTATGCCACCTGGCTCACCCACGTAGATGGGGAAACTGAGACCCAGAGAAAGGAAGTGACTTATCCAAGGTCACTAGGAAATGTCCTCCAACTTTAAATCCAGAGCTCTTTCTACCATGTAACACTTCTCTGCCCCGCTTCCTGCCATCACACACACATACACTCTTTCTTTGTTTCTGTGTCTCTGTCTCTCTTGCTCTTCTGCTGTCTCTCCCTTATGATCTCTTCCTGTATGTACATATGTGTGTATATATATATATGCATGATAAATGTATGTATTATACACATATTTTCAGCTATACACCAAAGAATAATAAAAGTTAGACTGTATTTGAACCAATATAAGTATCTCAGTGGAGTAAAGGTATTCAAAGACATGAAATGATAAAAATTATAGATGAGAGAAGGAAAACCTGAAAAAGAAAGGCATGACACCAGCAAGGAATATAATAGTTATTGCAGATTCATCTCTTAAAGAAAGAGTTTAATGGTCTTGCTACACTAAGAAAGGTTAAATTCTGAGCACTGACAGGAACAGGAAAAGTATGGCATGTCCATACCTGGAATTTGTATAAAGGACCTCAATGAAGTCCAGAAAAAGAAATCTAAAATGATCAAGTGGACAGATGAACTGCCATTTATTATGAGAATTAAGGAGATCTTTACTATTTAGGCTAGATAAAATGAATGATAAGAGGCAATTTTATCTGATGTGATAAAATCACAGCAGGGATAGATATAGCAAGAACATGGACTTATCAAAACAATGGTAATGGTAATTAAAACTAATGGGAATAATGATGATAATAATAACAATAAAATAATTAATATTTCTGTAGAGCTTTAAGATTGAAACTTTGAAAGGCTGAAGCTCAGAATATATAAATTTGGGGCACACAAAAGAAATGTTATTAATCTCTAATAAGAATTGGAGAAAATTTCAGAAATCATAGGAGTAGTTAGGTTGCACAATGGATAGACTCATAGACAATCAAGAAGATCTGAGTTCAAATCCTGACTCAAATTCAGACAATAGTTGAATGACCCTGAGCAAGTCACTTAACCTCACTGGACCTCAGCTTCATTATCTATAAAATGGACGACTGAATGAAATGGCTTCTAAAGGCCCTCCCAATTCTAAATCTATACTATAATTCTATTACTGCTAAGAGATAAGCAACTAAAATATAAGTACTTTTTTGAAAGATTCAGATAAATTTGTGAGAAATATACCCTATTTATGAGGAATTATGAAGAGCTACTGAAATGTTTTGGGGTACACATCTAAACTTAAGAGGCTGGTATTTAGGATGGAATCATCCTCTTAAAAAAGCATGCCATGATGCAAAGGCCAAAGAAAAAATTCTGTGCTGTATGGATCGTGGGTCAGGCCAAGTATAACAACCCTTTTGTTCTTTACCAGATAAAGAGATTGATATTGAAACTAGAGGAAAACCTAAGAAATCATGAGGTTAACAAAAAGTATATACTCAAGGAATAGATTTTAACCTAACAGAAAATCTTAGAAAAAAAATTGAGCTCAAAACCCAGAAAGGTATGAGATCAGGAGAAAGAAAAGGGGAGGGAGAAGTGACTTCTAAGTGGATATTTGTTCTCCATTTCTCAGACCCTTTTATGTCTTGTTCTCAATTAGTCAAGCATTATATATTTCTTGTTCTTATGATGCATCCAAAGGTACTCAGGTTTGCCTTTTGAAGTAATAGATTTCATTATTGCACCTGCTGCTGCCACGAAGCTGTGGGAGAGAGAGCAGAGAACAACCAATGATCTGTAGCATTTCACTTTCTTTTACATAGCAGTGTGTGAGGTAAAAGACCCTCTTCCAGTCCTTTTCTATATGATCTAGGGTAGTCTACTTTTCTCTAGGCCCACGTAAAACAACACATTTTCCTTAATCTAGAAGGGTTTGGCTTTCTCCCCATGAACTTAGACAATAAGAATGTTTACATTTATTTCTTTGTACATTTATTCAAGCCTTCTCATGATAGAGTGTTTTCAAATAATTTGAGGCAGCTATATCAATGGATCTATACTCATGGCTCAAGAAGTTCAATGAGCCAGCTTCACTAGTATCCCTTACGGTACCAAACATTCCTAACTCTGCCTTGACTCTTAGTGCTACTTCTCTAGTTATCTCCCAGTGTGGAACACAGGCACAGACATACCATCTTTGCAGAGGAGTATTCAGGATTCCTGGGTTCTTTAAATGCTCAGAATATGAACTGTTACACTGGAAATCAGACTATCAGATAACTGCTGGCCTTATGTTTTTCCATGTGAATACGTTCTGTGATGTTCTCAAGAGTTCTAGATGTTGCTGAGTAAAATGCATTATGACAACATTTGGAAGGTCAGAACTTTCCTGACCTTCTATATGATGACGGATGCTCATAAAAACTTCGTCTTGAACATTTAACATGTCAATTGGGAAAGTATCGTTTAAAATATTCTCTCATTCTTTTGGTCATACTTAATTTTATTATCTTTACTTCCCCTACAAGAAAAACAATGAAGAACTTTCGTTATGAGGTGAGTAAGAAAGACAAAGAAAAAGCCATTCGAAGTTTGCTAACACAAGCTCCTCCGGGAGAATTTGTAAACTGTTTTAACGACCTTTCTCTACTTGTTCAAGATGAAAAATTAATGCGACAATATGGCGAGTGGGCCGGTAACAAATACTGCAAAAAATATTTTGTACCACTCAGCATAGATGGACATCAAGTACTACTTTCTCACCACAATGAACTGGGTGACCATCGCTTCTTTGACCCTCACACCAGACTTTCTTTCAAATTTGATGTTCTTGAAAATCAGTTGAAAGACATTGAAAGTCATGGTGTTCTGCGTAATGAGGCAGAATGTCTGAGGATGGTGGTATCCCATGCTTTAAAAATCTATGTGAGCAAACATTTCCCATCAGGAAATTGCAATGTACTTAGGAAAACCATAAGAAATAAAGAGTTCTTAATAGCCTGCATAGAAGATCATCATTACAAAGCTTCAGATTACTGGAATGGCCTTTGGAAATCAAAATGGATTTTTTCAATAACTCCATTTCTCACGCAAGTAATAGGGTCAATTTATGTGAAAGCACACTTCTTTAAACAAGTCAACTTTCATCTTGATATCAGCAAGGATGTGCAGGACTGCTTGGATGTGGTTAACCAAGCTCAACTGGCTTTAGGTTTTGCCAATTTTGTAGAAGAACAAGAAAACAAATTTCAAACTGCAGTCATAGAAGAATTCCAGGACCTAGAGGCTTCACTGAAAAGAATTTTAAGAAGAGATCTTCCAGTGACCCGTACTTATGTTAACTGGCAGAGAATAGTAAATGACTTGAAGTTGGTGATGTATCCTAGGCTTGGATATGTCAATTACTCAAAAAATGTATTATGCCACTGGATCACATAAAGGATTTGTTCCTGGAGCTGGGCTGTTCTTGATTGGGTCATTGTAAAAGGGGAGTAGTGTTCTGTTTTGCTTTTTTTTTCTCTAAAAGATAAGCATTTCCTAGAATGTATGTGTCTGAGCAAAGAAATCAAAGAATAGAGGGGATAGACAATTTGTAAATTATAAGAGATTTCTCTAAGCCAAGGCTGAGTCACTTAACCTCTTGGAGAATGAACTCCTTCCCAAAACTGGTCCAGTAGAACCTGACTTTGGCCTGGAGATTCTTCTTACTACAATAAAAATGAAAATCTCTTATTTCTGGTTCACTACAGCAAAACGAGGAAAAATTCAACCTTCTACTCTCATAAAACCTTATCTCCCGAATGTCACAATGTTAACACTGTACCTGTTTCCTTGGCTTTGGTACCCAATCCATCTTTCCTTTCTTTCCTCTTTACTACACACTCTAAATTGCAATTGTAGTTTTCTAAGCATATTTCTTTTTAAGGGGAAAAAAGACTTAATAGAAATAATCAATAATGTTTTATAGGATCAAATCTGTGATTTTATTGGTATAGGGAATTCTCAGTGAGGATACTCCCTACCAATACAGATAGATTCTTATTTGCATAGGGCATTAAGAGATTGTGTGATTTGCCCAAGGTCATACAGCCAGTTTCCATCAGAGATGGAACACGAATTCTGGTCTTTCTGACCCCAAAGCCAGCTTTCTATCCATTATGCGTACCACCTTTCATTAACAATAATAGCTACCAAAGTTTCAGATGATTGAAAGTACACATAAAAGAATTGTATCTTGCACAGTTTTCTAGAAGTGTTTCAGTTAGGTAACATCCCTCCTAAAATTTAGATCCCAGGACTAAACTCCAGATGTGGTCTGACTAACAGAGTACTATGGCTTATTGCTTTCCTCATTTTGAACCCTATACTTCTGTTAATTCAGTCTTAGATTGAATTAGCTCTGTTGGTAGTCACGTTCTATTAACTCACAATGAATTTCAAATCCAATAAAAACTCTGGCCAGGCCTTTTTCATTAAACTACTGCTTATTTCTGTCACTGCCATTCTATACTTGTACAATTGTGAGTCCAAGGAATTGATTCAACCTTTATGTGTGTGTCCTTACTAAATTTCACTTTGTTAAAGTCATCCTACCCTTCCAGCTTACAGAGATCTTTTGGATCCCTGTTCTATCACCTTAATTTGCACTTTTTCAATGTTTTATATGTATTATTTTAACTATGCATAGATCATATCACCCTACTAGATTATAAGTGCTCTCAGGGAAGCTTTTATCTACTTTTTTCTCCCCTAGAACCTGGTACAGTATTCTAAAAATAGCAGGTTAATAACTTTTTATTTATAAGAGGGATGATCCCATGGAACATACACTCTGACTCCATTGGGATGGTTATGTGTTTTTACTTAATTGATATGACTGGTTCGCATATCTGAGAAGTTGCTTTGAAGACAGCCAGAAGTTGAACTCTGAAGATACTCCTCAGTAGGCTGTACAAAGGTTCCATTCCTCTTCTTTTTAAACAGACTCTTTGGGACTGTTCTAGTGTTTTTCTCCTTAAAATTTCCAACAAGGAGAAAGAAGGGGTTTCTCCTCCTCTCTACCCCACAACCACTAGCAATGTTTGTTAAAATCATAGAATAATCATTATATTCTGGCCTGAGTTTGAGTGACTGGCAACCTTCTTTTCTTTTATGTTTCTTTCTTCTCTAAGCACAGATCTGCAACAAGGAACCAGTAATCCTGAGAGATAAACACTTCTTGCCTGAGCAGCAGTTACCTTATAAATTTGAGAGTTCTGGGTTCCTAAATCAGTCTCAGTTGTCCATTAGAAAGTAATTCCTGAGAGTGGTGGATCAGTGAAATAGATTAGTTACATAAGACACAGTAGTCAATGATTATAGTAATATATTGTTTGATAAACCCAAAGACTACAGTTTCTGGAATAAGAACTCACTAATTAACACAAACTGCTAGGAAAACTGGAAAACAGTGTGACAGAAACTAGGCATAGACCAACATCTTACACCGTATACCAAGATAAAGTTAAAATAGGTAAGCAATTTAAATATAAAGGCTGATACTAGAAGCAAACTAGGAGAGCAAGGAATAGTTTGCCTGTCAGATTTATGGAGAGTAGAAGAATTTATGACCAAACAACAGATAGGAAACATTATGAAATGCAAAATGGGTAATTTTGATTACATTAAATTAAAAGTTTTGTACAAATAAAGCCAATGCAACTAAGACTGGAAGGGAAACAGAAAGCTGGGAAACAATTTTTACAACCAATGTCTCTGATAAAGGCCTCATTTCTCAAACATATAACGAAATCAGTAAAATTTATAAGAATACAAGTCATTCTCCAATTGATAAAGGGTCAAAGGATATGAACAGGCTGTTTTCAGATGAAAAAATTAAAGCTATCTATAGTCATATGAAAAAAATGCTCTAAATCACTATTGATTAGAGAAATACAAATCAAAACAACTCTGAGGTACCACATCACACCTATCAGATTGGCCAACATGACAAAACAGGAAAATGGTAAATGTTGAAGAAGATGTGGGAAAATTGGAACACTAATGCATTGTTGGTGGAGCTGTGAAATGGTCCAACCATTCTGGAGAGCAATTTGGAACTATGCCCAAAAGGCTATAAAAATGTTCATACCCTTTGACCTAGCAATGCCACTTCTAGGTCTGTATCCCAAAGAGATCATAAAAATGGGAAAAGGACCCACATGTACAAAAATATTTATAGGAGCTCTTTTTTTTTTTAAGGCAATTGGGGTTAAGTGACTTGCCAGGGTCATATAGCTAGTAAGTGTCTAGAGTTTGGTCTGAGACTGGATTTGAACTCGGATCCTCTGACTTCAGGGCTGGTGCTTTATCCACTGTACCACCTAGCCGCCCCCATAGGAGCTCTTTTTGTGGTGGCCAAGAATTGGAAATTGAAGGGATGCCCATCAGTTGGAGAATGTCTGAACAAGTTATGGTATATGAATGTAATAGAATGCTACTGTTCCATGAGAAACAATGAGCAGGCAGACTTCAGAAAAGCCTGGCAAGATGTACATGAACTGATACTGAGTGAAGTGATCAGAACCAGGAGAACTTGTACACGGTAACAGTTAACATTGGCTAATTGATTTTGCATTGTGGTCTATAAATAATGTGTTTAATTTTTCTGCATTTATTCATGAGTGGTTTGCACTTTAGTGGTTTGGTCAAGCTTTATAAAGTTATTATGCAATACTGAAAAATATGCTCCTTAAGCAATTCAGTAATTTCCAAAGGTTGAACATGCTTAATTTTTCAAATTTAATGTTTTTAAATCCTTAGCTTCTTTCTTAATTATATCCATTATATTTGTCTAAGTGTGAAACAAGCATGTTGAAATACCCAACAATTATCTATTTACTATCTGTGATAGGACTAATATCTACAATAAAGGCTTCCCACTCCTCCTCTCCTTCTCCCTACAGCGTGGATAAGTTTCCTCCAAAAGTTTACAAAGCTTTTCTCAAGGTCTGATTGGCACATGCCTCTCAGAGGCAGTTTCCTTGTAGCTTCTGGCTATATCGATGTTCTTCCTGGTCACCTGAGGGCATAAAAAGAGTCCTAGCACATGAAGTCTGGGCCTCTTTGACTTGGTGGAAGTCTGAAGATCATGCAAGTCATCACACCCTCCTCTACTAATAATAAGGATACAGTGGCTCTTAGCTTTTATATGTTATTTTCCCCCATTCTTTTTGCTTGTATTCACTTCATCAGCGCTGAGCACAGACCTAGCACATAGTAAGCACTTAATAAATCCTTCTTGTCTTGCCTTGCCTTCCCTTATCCTGTTGAAGTTCATCCTGTTCCAACCATAAACACTGGATTATCTATATCATTATTTTCTCTTTTCCTCAAGTACTGCTGAATGCTGTTGGAGGGTTGCACAGCCGTGATGAATTGGTACATTACAGATTTATGTAATCTAATGTCAGCTGTACCTACATTGCTTCATAGCAACCATTTTCCTCTTTTCTGATTAACTCTATTGCACACACCAACAACTGTAACAAACCTTCTTTTCTCTCCACAAACCATTTTCCTTTCCCCCCCAGTTCCCAACAGCAAAAAACCTCTACTTTCTCACACAACTAAAAAAAATTGAAGTTCTCTGACATGAATTCCTTCACCTCCTTAGTTCTAAACCTCAAATTCCTTTTGCATTATCCCCCACTCACTATTTTTTGGTCCTAACTGAAAGAAAGAGATGGTCCTTCTTGCCAAGGCCATCTCTTCTACTTTTGCTATTCATCTTCTCCATATCTGCTGTTGCTGCTTCTTTTCTTCCTCCTTCTCCTCCTCCTTCTTGCCTTCCCTCTCTTTCCTCTCCTCTTTTTTCTTCCTTTTTTCCCTCCTCCTCTTCCTCCCTCTTCTTTTCCCCTTTTTCCTTCTCATCCTTTGCCTTTTTCTTTCTCCTTCCCTCTCCTTCTATCTCCTTATCTCTGTCTCTGCCTCTCTCTGTCTCTCTATCTTTGTGTATGTTTCTTTCCCTCTCTCTTCCCTCTTTCTACCTTGATGATCTCAGCAGCTGTTACGGGTTCAACTATCATCTGTATACACACAGACGACTCCCAAATCTACTTATCCAGTCCTCATCTTTCTCTTGAATTTCAGTTCTGAATCACCAACTTTCTGTTAGGCATCTCTCCAATGTACCATTAATATCTAAAAATCAGCAGGTCCAAAACAGAATTCTATCTCCTCCTCAAACCCACACACTTCCTAATTTCCCTACTTTTGCAGAGGTCACCATTATCCTTTTTGTCACTGAAGTCCACAATCTTGGAGTCATGCTTAGTCCTCCTCTCTTTCTTGCACTCTTTCCTCTTATAACTCTACAATCTTTATTGCATCTATCCCATCTCCTTTACTCACACAGCCAACATCCTAGTTCAGGCGCTCATCATCCCTCATTTGAACTCTTGCAGTGGCCTCCTAGTTGATCATAATTGATCTCCCTGCCTTCAGTTTCTCCCCTCTCCAGTTCATCCTCCATAAAGTTGCCAAACTGATATTCCTAAAGTGAGGTTCTGACTATGGCACTCCCTTGCTCAAAAGCTTCAGTGGTCCCCCAATATTTCTAAGATCAACTACAAACTCCTTTTCTTTGCCTTTAAGCCTTTCACAAATCTGGATGCCACATATTTTTCTACTCTTATTTTTTTCTTGCTTCCTGTCACTCACTCTATATTCCAGCCAAATTGGCAAACTTGCTGCTTTCCATACATGACATCCCAGCTCTAGTCTCTGTGCCTTTA